ACGACCGCCACTCACTGCAGCCCCCACCTCCTGGGCTCAGAGGATCCTTCTGCCTCGGCCGCCTGAGTAGCTGGGACTCCAGGTTCGCATCATCACTTTTCTGTGTGTGTAGAAACCAGTCTTACTACGTTGCCTAGGCTAGGCTTGAACCCCTTGGCACAAACGGTCCTCCCAAGTACTGTGACTTCAGATGTCAGCCGCCGCGCCCCGCCAACACCCGCGATTCAAAAAAGAAAAAGACTTCGCAAACTAGAGACGCTGGAGAACTTTCTTACCTGGATAAAAATTTGGAATAAAATTACTATAAACCTCTAATACTTTCATTCATCTTTGGTTAAAATGGTTTTTCAACATCAGGATGGAAAGTAAAGTTTTCCCTAGGTAGTTCTACCAGAAGAAAGCAGTGGCATAGACTATATATTTCATTGTAAATAATACTGAGTCATCACTTACTATAAATAAAAAATGGAAAAAGGAGCCTCAGTCCAAGAGGTGAAGTCTCACGGTATTTAACTTTTCTTTTTCTGAAAGAGGTTCTCATTTTATCCCCAGACTGGAGTGTAGTGGTATGATCATAGCTCACTGCATCCAAGAGTGATGCTGGGCTCAAGAGATCCTACCACCTCAACCTCCCAAGTAGCTGGGACTACAGAAGCATGCCACTATGCCCAGATAATTTTTTATTTATAAATATATTTGTCATTTTTTGGGGGGTAGAGACAGGGGTCTTAGTATGTTGCCTATTTACTATTATTCTATTTATATTGTTCTACTTACTGTTTCATTTCCATCCTGCCCTGTCTGGTCTTGAATTCCTGGATTCAAGCGATCCTCCTGCCTTGGACTCCCAAAGTGCTGGGATTCTAGACATGAGCCACTGAACCCGCACAGTTTATAGACATGAGCCACTGAACCCGCACAGTTTAGTTTCTTATGAGCCTACTTGAAAGACAATAGAGTGATAAATGAACTTCATCAAAATGAGATATACAGAATGTGAAA